ATACAGTATAGAAAATTTAATTAATAAATTCGTTATAGACAGAGATTTTTAAATAGTAAAAAATCGGGCTTTAAATCCCGGTCGTTATAGGGAGAGGGTCATTATAGGCAGGGTCGTTATAGAGAGAGTGTACTGTAATATGAAACTCATTTACATCAGATCTATTATGGAACTCAAGAATTATAGCACCATTAGAAGTATTTTAAAAAAGGAACAAGGTGAAAAAATTGCCCCCTGTATTTTCAAAATAAATGATACTCAGGCAATTGAAGCTTACCTAAGGGTAAAGTCCATCACATGTTGGAAGGCTTTGGAGAAAACATTCCCCTCAGACCAGTCTTGGCTGTTCCATATGGAGCATTGTTTGCTGATGAGAGTTGACATTTGTGTGATGATTACTTTGTGCTACACCCCTCCAGTACAAAGTTGGTGTTAAGACTGGCTTGAAAATTCTCCAACTTGGAAGTTGCAACCTGGGTTTTTGTTTTTGTTTTTTCCTGGATTCAGTTTTGAGTCCTGGGTTGCTGTTTTGTCAGTGACATGCCTACTCACCAACAACCCTACCCCCATTCGAAAAACAAATTCAGTTGGACAAATAAAAATTAAAGGAAAACAGAGTATTTATGAAAATGATTAACTTGTACAAAACATATCAAATCTGATCCATTTTATAACTTTTTTCTTGTTGGACATATCGCTGACAAAGGTGCAATAATTTTAATCTACAAAACAGAGGACTGATTGGGCAAAAACTCAATCCAGTTCCCTACCCAAAATCATGAATTGGTTAGTATCAGTGAAACAGAGAATTTAGGAAAGTGATTATACAAAACGAACACTATTTTACAATTTTCCTCTTAACATCAGAGTCCAAATGCAATTTCAGGGCTATAACCCCGCTCTGAATTGTGACCTTCTGTACTTGAACAAGCTGCAGATTCTCTTAACATTCCTCCAGAGTTGTGACAGCTTGGTCACAGAGCCATCCTTACCCTAGAGTAGGATCGTTGCAGGCAACTTTTCAACCAGCATGCCAGCGGCCATCTCTGGACTGGTGCAAACTCCAGGGCTTTGCGTCCCTCCCCTGGAATCCAGTTGCATCATTGCATCATCAAGGGATCGCAAGTCAGATTAGCCTTATGTGACTGTAGTGTGTTCAAGATAGCGTGTGTGCTTCAACATCTATAAAATTTCCGATAATCAAACATTGCATATTTGAAATGTTTCTTTTTCAACAGTGTATTGCCTTGACATCTTCTTGTAATTATATATTAATAATAATATTATTACTACGATTACGTAAAGCAAAATACCAATCATTTATTATCATCTTGATAAGAATCTTATAATTTACCCAGCAAAGATCTGCACCGCGTTTTGATTCCAATCAAAATATCTATAAACTAAAATAAAAATATCAATACAAATAAAAAAAAGTACCTCTGGTTAGTTATTAACACATTTTCTTTGGGAGACCCAAACCAAATCAAACAACAATGCTCACGTTTTGTCACCTTGGACTCTGTCAAAAAAAAATTTAATAAAAAAAAATGCCACGTCAAGAAAAAAGAAACAGAGAAGATAATAAAGGAGAAGCGAAAGCGGAAGTGTTTTAAGGATGGTGGTGGTTATCGCCCACCACTCCAAATCATTGGAGACCGTAATAAAACATATTGAAAAACAATCTCAAGATCACCAAATGATATTATTTTCATCAAAAATTTCTATTTGGGCAAAATATATTATTTTTGATTTTATACTTATTAAAATTAATGAAAATTTGAACATAAAAGATAAAGTTATAACAGAAGGTCCAACATCAGAAAATATATACAAAAATATAACATATTAGATCCACTTGCAGGGTATATACCTTTTTTATGTTAATATTAATATTAATTGTCACAGAGAGTCTTTATGTATTCACTAATCTTTAAATAACTTATATTATATTAGAGTGTCTATCACAGGCGATAAAATGATTTTGACATTGGATCAAGCTATAGAAAAAATATCCTACACCTTGAATAGTAATTCTGTTAGATCAATCAAGAATATATCCTCAGTCATTAATTCTGGTGGTAAATATTTAAGTTGGGAAGAGTCAATCCCTGATAATACAATGACTGGAGGTTTGTGTTTTATAAATTTTTTTTTAAAAAAAAAACTCCTAGTTTGATCATTTATTAATAGCCAATTAATTTCTTTAAAATAGATGAAACCACTAAATATTTGTCTGAGATGTTTCCAGACAAGATCCAACTAAAAAAATCAAATTATATTAAATGCGGATACATGGTTTCAATTGGTGAACCATTTTTGCAGGATATTCATAAATCCATCAAGGAAACAAAAAAATTATTAATCAATGAATAATCTCTTTATTATTATTTTTTTTTATTTTTTTAAAAAAGTAAATAATATGCTTTTACAAGATTAAAATTATTTTCTGCTTTTTATAATTTAATTTTACTACCAAAATGTTTCGACAATAGTGAAAATATTGAATTAAATCTTTCTGTTTCTTCATCAGTTTGAATTTGAAGTTGACATTTCTATGAATGCAGGCAAATTATTCCCTTTTGAAATCGCTAAATCTCTAATAGGAAGATAACCTGTTTTCATACAAGTTTTTACTGCTTTACGCACTATAAAATCGTGAAATGTATTCTGACTGGATGTTTAATTTGCAATTCGCCAGAAACGAGCATAGTTAAAAATCCTCTCATTGGTCAATTAAGGCACTGTAACACAGCAAACTTTTCTTCTTTTATGTATTATTATCCTTATTGTATTGATCAACGAAAATTTCATCAAGGATAACTTCTGGCCTTCGCAGAGGATAATTAACATTCTAATAAAATAAAACTCTGATAGAATCATTATTTTTATTAAATAAAATTAATCATTAAAAACAGTGTTTTTATTTTCTTTGTTTGAAGCTCCTTGATGAAAGCAACAAGTATAGTTAGCACCTTGGTAAAAGGTAACAATCATGGAGCTTTGGTAAAAGCCATGTTTATTTGCTTTAGTGAGCAAGCAAGCAAGGTTAGGGTTACTAATGAGTGTTAACGACTATTAGTAACATGATTTGCTTTAGTGAGTAAGCAACGGTTAGGATTAACATTGGTTACCTGGCGAGTGTTAATGAAGCATCATCCAAAGGTTAATCGGAAATACTGATAGTGTTACTGTAATTGTAAACATAAGGCTGTTAAACGAGCTACTCATGTTGTTTTGCAAGTAAACAAAAGTGGGTTTGCAATTGGTCAATAAATGTAAACGAATAAATCGATCACAAGCGAATAGAAGGAACTTTATAGAAGCCCTTGGGTTTTGTAAAAGGCCATATTTATTTATTTACAGTTATCTGGTACCATTAAGTGTGCTCGCAGATTCGTCTAAGTGCAAGAAAGAGGAAACCAAAGTAAATTGTAAACTAATTACCAAATTATTTGTAATTAACTGACAAGAGT